ATTCAGTGGAATTTGCAGTGAGATGAAGGTTCTGAGTTTGGCACAATTATTTTCTGCCTTGTGGATTTAAGTAGTTGCTTCTTACAGATGAAAACAGGTTCCCTGATGAATTCCTTTAAGGCTATGAAAGCAGCATATTTTCTGTAAGTACAGATGCTTAAAACTCATGATACTTCATCTCTCTAATTACATCATTTATGCCTCTTAAGGAAATAACTGATCTGTCATAGTGAGAGAATAAGAGAAGGTGAATTGTTGTTTTAGTGAATGTATTCTTAACTCCTGACACATTGATAGATAACATGAGAGTTCAGGGTGTTTTGTTTTTATTCCTAGCAACAAGCATTTGAATATGAATTTGGAGCAATGTATGCCTGGATGTTGTGTGTGTTCACTGTCATCATGGCCTATAGCATTACATGTCCCATCATTGTCCCGTTTGGTAAGTTTTCCAATGAGCTGTGGGCACTGTGAGCATGGTGGGGGCATGTGGGAGGTTTGGAAGGCCCAGTTCTGTGCTCTTATCCCCCCCCAGTATTTCTTGTGGAAAGACAGGGGAGAAGATGGTGAATTACTTAGCTCTTGTACTGCCTTTAGGAGTTGACAGTATATTTAATGTCTATTAGATACTTATTTTATTTCTCAAGTTTGAGTGTATTAGCTCTGATGGTGGTTTTTAATAGTTAATCATAGAAGTTCACATAGGTTTGGGGATGAGGGGATTATTTTTATCTCTGGGTTCTTAAGGTCTGGGAGAAGCAAGCTGCAGAGGTTACCCAGCCTGAAGGCCCACCTTAGGCAGGCAAACGTGTCTTGAGATGTTCTGATCCCCAAGTCCTTCAGGCACTTTTGAAAGAACTTTTGTCCTAAAGTTTGACTGATGTATGTAAAACGAAGCACAAAAATAAGCATGTTGATCCAGTAGTGAGAGACTGGAAAACTGCCTGTCCTTTTCACTACTGCAGCTCTTCTGCATTCCAAACCATTTGTTTAAAATTCCACATCCTGAACGAGAAAAGGATCTGTGGTCATCACTACTCACAGCTACGGACAGCTGTATGCTCCAAGGTCCTGACCCCAGGGGTGTGACCTAACAACGTGCTGACTGCTTTGCTGGGACGTGGTCTTGGTGAACACCATAGCTGCCCTTTGACTGGAAAAGGAAATGCTGTATACTCTGGTAGAGTTGCTGGCTTAGAAAACCAGCTAACTAAGACCTAGTCAGGGCATGTGGGTGGAGCACAGCTGCCCTGTGGCAAAGATGGAGCTGCAGGCCTACAGGACCCTGAGAAGGTCTCCAGATCTCTGAGTCACAGAACTCCTTTTTCTAGGATGTTTCTCTTATTCACCTGGTTTATCTCTGTCCCATGAACAAAACTTAACATTTCTGCGTCAAGTTGCCTATATATATGGCTTTGACTACTTTCTTCTTCCTGTACCAGCCATTAAATCCTATATGGGTGTGCAAGAAACCTAGCAACCTGTCTAGAACTCTTGGACAGTTGTCCATCTTTAGTGACTGTGACATGATCTATGTCTTACTTTATTGTATCTTTCATTCACAGAGATTCTGGGCTGTCATAAGAATTATGTATAAAGAATCATTTCAGCAGCTACAGATATTTCCACTCTGGAAACCTGTTTATCAGACATAAGTAGTACTAAATCATTTTATAGAGTTTGTATTTTCCTTTTCTAATCCAAAATTTTAGAGAGCTAGATACAACAAAATTAGCTAAATTGGATATTGTTCAGAACTGGTTTTAATTGCCAACCTTCTTATTGGGAGAATGTGGCCAATTTTTTTTGTAACAATGTTCTTTGATATTTATTTACATTTCATTTTGTGTGCAGTTGTAAATATTTGAATGTGCTACTGCATAGCAGAGCTGTTGCAATTCATAGCTGTCACAGCAGTAACTGGCTTTTTTTTTTGGAGCAAAAAATAGCTGACTTGAAATCCAGTCATGAATCTGTTGAAGGCTGAGAGGGAGGCGTTAAAGCCACTGTCAGACCTTTCTGCCTTGGTGGTGGGGGAGTTACCAAGTCTTCCCTACTTGCTGGACCTCATGTGCCAGCACTAGGAAGGAGCTCTAGGTTCTCTCTTGGAGCATGAGCGGTGTTGCAGAGAAGTGTGTGGAGAAAGGGAGGGATGGGAAGACCCTGGGCATCTTGGGTTGGGGATGAAACAACCTTAGGAGCAGGCTGCTGTCATGCAGCTGTACCCCATTCATATCTGGGCTGTGTCCCCCACTGGTATCTAGATTTTCAGTCACTTGGTTAGCGTCGATCTCCTCACAGAGTTGCTGCTTTTTATCAAGTCTTCAACTACCTCTCCTTGGCTCTCCCTTTTTTCCTTCCAGGTTTAATATACATGCTCCTGAAGCACATGGTTGACCGTTATAACCTTTACTATGCCTATCTCCCTGCCAAGCTGGAGAAGAAGATGCACTTTGCAGCTGTGAATCAGGCCCTTGCAGCTCCAATTCTCTGCCTTTTCTGGCTCTATTTTTTCTCATTTTTGAGGCTAGGTAAGTATTACCTTTTTCCACCTAGAAACTGCTCCTATCTCTCTTGTCAACTTAGCTGAATTACATGTGAAGTTTCATAGGCTTTGTGGGCTTTTCTTTTTGCTTCCATAAATGGGAGGTCATGGTGGTTACCTGTGGCCACTGAATTACACAACGTTTGCGGCATACACAAGTTTGCAGAAGATACTCTGATGGAGGTGGCTGATATGTTAACTTAAAACTGTTATCATGGAGCTTCATGTTTCTTCATTTTACAGGAGATCATGTGTTCCCTAATTCTGTAGAGTTTGAATTGGCCAGTTGGGCTGTGGAGTGAAAGACAGTAAAAATCCTTAAATAAAACAAAAATCTATTCAGAATTATTTCTAGTAAGATAGTCTTTGGCTTCACTACCTGCATTTGTGTAGTCTGTGCATAAGTTTAATTTGCCTGGATGAATTGGTTACTGCTTCTGTTGGACAGATGTCGCTTAGCAAAAACTGTTAAAATGTTGGCTAATCTTAGTAAGACCTGTGTTCTACAACATTCGTCAAACTTTACATGGAAGATTGCAGTGAGATGGTGACTCTTTTCCCCATATTGTAATTTAAAAACTCATGTTTTGTGTGTAGTTTATTTAATTTATAAATAGGGACGTTCTGTATTTTGCAAATACCTGGCATTGTTAGTATTGGCTGTGGTGTCATAACAGCTTTGACATCAGAAAAGGAAGGCAATAGCTTATGGCTTTTTATCTGGGATATAGGAGGAAGCATTTGGTATGGAACAGGGATGCTGGTGATGCTGGGAGGAGTTGAGCTTGCCTTCTTGGGAAGGAGGCCCTTGGTGTTTTGCCCTCTGCTTTCACAGCACTGATGACAAATGACGACACCTGCATTGTGTTTCTCTAGCATACCGGTAGTAAAACAGATATTGTTGGCAGACTGTCATCTAACTTTAGAGATAGCTCCCTGTGGATGTAAGAGGCACTTGAACTATTGCTTCAGGCTGTCCTTGGATTGGAGCAGGTGTCTCTGCATTACTTGTATGTTTGACAGCTTGTTTTTCTCCCTTGTTTGCAACCAGGAGGACCAACAAATCTATGTCCTCTAAAATAACAGCGGAATTGCTAGAGCATGCTTTAGAAAACTCAACCTGAAACATGTGGCAATAGATGCACCTCTAATTGTTATGAAGGAAATCTTGGTGTAGTAAAAATTAAGTCTTTATAATAATAAAGTTTTCTGGATCTGCATCATTTGTCATGGAATGCAGACTGGATTACCATGTTTGGCTTGGTCAGTATAGAGGATCCTGTTTACAGGATGTTGTTCAGTGATTTGTCAGTGTGCAGGGCAGTCTAGCCAAGTGGTGTGAGTCTGAGAGGGAGGAACTTGAGATTTTAATTTCATTGCTATTCATTTCATTGCTGCTTCTTTTGCCAAAGAGAAGGAAGGAGGGGAAGAGTGCTCTGCTTCCTTATCTGCAAAATAAATCAGCTTATGGTGTGTAAAGCTTGATTGCTTAGTCATTGATTTGTATAGTTTGCCTGGTATGGATATTTCAGTCTGGTTGCAGAGTACAGCGATAATACTGTTTTCTCACTCATTATTTTAATGTAAGGCTGGAAGGGCTTCTATCCCAGTTCTCAGTCAGGATCAAGTATCACTTGACTGCATATGGAAGGTGATAGACTGTACTACTGTAATCTATTTCCTTCTCAGTTGCTGTTTTCTTCCTCAGCTCTCGTGCCATCCATCCATCATATGCCAAGAGCACCACTGGGCCTCTCACAACAGGGGAGGCAATGGTACTACCTGCAGTTCAACCCCTGTCTCCTGGGGTAGTCACTTAAGTCCCACATTCTCTAGAGCTGTTGGCAGGGAGGAGTGCTGAGGACACAGGGCAAGGAAAACTGATCTTTGGAGGTTTCTTCTTCCCTGACCTCTGCTGTTTCTTTGTGGTTCACACCGTATGTTGGCTTTGGTGTAGACATGTTTCACCAGCTGGTACATAGTGATGTAGCCTACACTTATAAAAGCAACCTCTTCTGAAGGACATTGCAGAATACCCATAGGGAGGATTTTTCACTTCCCTTTTTGGTTTGAACAATGACATGTTCATGGCGTCTCTTTTGGTTTTTAGAATCATAGAATCGTTTAGGCTGGAAAAGACCTTTAAGATCATCAAGCCCAGCTGTTAACCTAACCCTGCCATCCCACCACTAAACCATGTCCCTAAGCACCTCGTCTACCCGGGTTTTAAATACCTCCAGGGATGGGGACTCAACCACTTCCCTGGGCAGCCCATTCCAGCGCTTGACAACCCATTCAGTGAAAAAATTTTTCATAATATCCAATCCAAACCTCCCCTGGTGCAACTTGAGGCCATTTCCTCTCGTCCTATCACTTGTTACTTGGGAGGAGAGACCAAGCCCCACATCACTACCCCCTCCTGTCAGGTGGCTGTAGAGGGCAATAAGGTCTCCCCTCAGCCTCCCCTTCTCCAGGCTGAACACCCACAGTTCCTTCAGCCGCTCCTCATCAGACTTGAGCTCCAGACCTCTCACCAGCTTTGTTGCCCATCTCTGGACATGCTCCAGTGCCTCAATGTCCTTCTTGTAGTGAGGGGCCCAAAATGAACACAGGATTTGAGGTATGACCTTGCCGGTGCTGAGTACAGGGGAAGGATGCCCTGCTCCTGCTGGCCACACTATTCCTGATACAAGCCAGGATGCCATTGGCCCTCTTGGCCACCTGGGCACACTGCTGGCTCATATTCAGTTGGCTGTCAGCGAACACCCCCGGATCCTTCTCTGCCAAGCAGCTTTCAAGCCACTCTTCCCCAAGCCTGTAGCGTTGCATGGGGTTGTTGTGACCCAAGTGCAGGTCCCAGTTTTTATGTGGTTTTTTTTTTTTTTTTGTTTGTGGTTTGTTTTTTGTTTTTTGTTTTTTTTTGTTCCACCCCCTGAACAGATCTGCACAGGGCTTATATAACCTGCTAAAAAGTAAAACTTGTCTGTTCTGTGCCACTGCATATGTTGGGGTTACCACAAAATTATTTGAGGGTTGGTGCTTCCTCTTTTGACTAAAGAAGCTTGGGAACAGCTAAGGTGTGGGTTTGGTTGTTTTAGTTTGGTTTGGTTTTTTGGGGTGGTGGTGGTGTTCTAATATCTTATTCAAGTCATCTTTGCTACAAAATGAGATTAATTTCTTCAGAATATTTCCCCAGTGGACCTGAAAAATAGTAAGTCACTTTTTCCATACTGGAAGCTGCTACCATGTCCTTTCCTATAGTTTTATCTGTCTTTCTGTCTATGAAGAAAAACTTAGCTTTCAGCTTAGTTCACGTTTACTCGATTTCTTCTCTTTTTCCTTTTCCTTGGATTCCTCCCAGTTCTGTCCATATTTTATCATGGTGTCATACACAGACAAGGCAGCTCAAGTTGAAGGTTCAGTAGCACCAAATTATTTTGTATAGGTACCAGAGACATGCTTCCCCCCCACATTTTGTGATAGCATCACACTGTTGACCGCTTTCCAGTTTGTAATCATCAGTTGCATTCTGCAGTGCTACAGGCCTGTTATCCCTCCCTATCTGTGTTTCATTTTCCCTTACAAATTGTAGTTATTTACAGCTTTCTACTTAAAATAGCATGTTAGTGTTTATTTTTGTGGGTTTTTTTTCCTTGAAAGGGGGTGGGGCTGTCTAATATAGCAAGGTAACTTTTGATATTTTTTTTTCTATTTTTTTCCTTTGGGTTGTTTGCAAGCCATCTAGTTTGGTGCCATCATGATAGTTAATAAATGGACTCTATCTATTACATTTCACAGATCATTAATGAAAGTATTTTAGAAGTGGGTCCAGAATAGATGACTGAGGGAGGAGGAGAAGAATCGCTCTGAGTCTTGGTTACCATTCAAGTATTGCAGCCACCTTTCTTGGCCTTTAAGGAAGCTGGGGAAACAGCTTGCTCAGCAGTTTTACCAGTCAACAAGCTTTGTTCATAACGAGGTTCTCCTGTTTGTGGCTGGGAGGGTTGTGGGCTAGGCCTCTAAGGAGGGGGGAAAAAAAAAAAAAAAAAAAAAAAAAAAAGAGGTCTCTGAAAAAGAGGAAGATAAAGTAAAGGTTTGTTTGAATTGTGGGGGTTTTTTTCTGCTATGTATTTTTATATTGTATTCTGTGGATATTTTTCTAGGCTTTAAAGCACCTACAACCATGTTTACCTTCCTGGTTGTCAACATCACAATTGTTATTTGCTTGGCTTATACTTGTTTTGGCTGTTTCAAGTACCTGAGCCCACTGAATTATAAGGTAAGTGATGGATACTTAACACCCTTCAGCACCTACCTATGCGCTTGATGTAGCGCCAGCTACTCCTACTGGGTTGTTTGTGCCTTCTCGCTAGCAGCATCTGTCCACAAAGGTTCATTCTGGTAAGATGGCTCAAGAGGGCTGATACTAGAGGTAGACTGCTCGGCACGGCAGAAAATCTGTCACTCTTAGCAGGAACTGTTTGAATTTGAGAGGAAAGAGCAGTATGCAAGAGGGTTGGAGGAGAGAGTACCAGCACTGCACAGGGATCTTTCTGTGCAGGTTTTTGGGCGCTGACGATCTCTGTATATTGGTTTGACTTACCAATTCGATATTGTCTCTCTTCCTTTCCCCACCTGTTACTGGTTACAGGTAGAAGATGTGCAATGTGAAAGAGGAAACGACACAGATGTACCAACCATCCCAACATCTTCTGTAAGAAGTTAAGAGTTACTCATATTCTCTTACGTTTCCTTGAAAAACTTAATTTCTCACCCTGCTTACCAAAGAGCTTACCTACTTACACAAGTAGGACATATTAGTCTGAATGGACTGTGGGACTTCCATATGCGTGTGGGACCAGAGAGTTCTGCAGCTGGGCTCCTTGACTCTTCCCAGGTGGTGTTCCAGAAGTACCTTCGGCTGATGTTTTAGGAGTAGTTGAGACCTGCTACTTCCAGCAGCTCTGTACGCTGTGTTCTTGGCCTTACACCAGACAGATCCTCACATCTGGACAGCTGCCAAATGCAGTCAGTTGCCACTGCTTTGTGACTTTGGAATTTGAGACATGTGCAGCAGGTCTTGCCTGCCATGTCAGTAAAAAGGAAGTGGGACTGAGGTAGAAATAGAGGTCTTTGTGCCACAGTCTGCAAGTACAGGCGAGTTTTGCACCAGGAAGCCTCTATTAGGGTACAGAAGGCCTTAGGTGTTAAGGTGAAGAATGGGAAATGAATGAAGAGAAGAGTGGTGAGGGGAAAAATTATCCTGGGTGAATTATCCCGACGTTATACTTTGAGAGACTAGTAAAATCCTTAACGCTTGTGATTTCAGATGTACGTCCCTCAAGTTTTGCATCCTCGTTCTACAGAAAGGACGATGCTTCCCTATACAGAGCAGCTATCTTACGGCACCATGGGCAACACTAGTTCACAGGCAGAAGAAATCATAAGCTACTCTGCTGGACCCGCAATTACTGAGCAGGCTTCGAGAGGTTTGAATGCCAAGGACTAACACAAGGTGGAGCACTTGGTCCAGGTTTAGGAGAACTAATTTCCCAGCATCACCTACTAAGTAGTCTCTTTTATTCACATATTCCTCCCTACAAGAAGAGGTATGGAAATAATTTATTGTGTGGTCTGCAGCTGTGCTTGAAGATTAAAAAGCAGATGCCTTGGGACTGATTATTTCCAGGCTGTCTACACACATTGTGAAACAAACATGTTGAGCACAGAGATGCTGATCCTCAGGGACTTCACTTGTGCTATGTCATCACTTGCCTTACGAAGATAACTTATGCTGCATATAGATAACTGGTCACCAAAGTAAATGCAGCTATTACAGCTGTCACTTATTTATTCAAAATAATTCTTGCTTTTTTTTTTTTTAAAAAAAAATTAAAAACCCCCAACTTTACTATTTATAAACTTCCTGGGATGTGTGAAATCCTGAGGCAATGTCACTTTTGATGAAAATACTGTTTGTGTGGGCGCTGAGTATGGTGTGTGGGAGCCTCTCCTCTTGTCACCCAAAGTAGGCAGTGTAGACTTGATCATGTTACTTTTTTCCATAAAAGAGATAAGGGAATTACTGTGCACTTTTGGGTACTGAAAGTACCAAAGCAAAAAGACTGGTGTAAAAAGAAGGGAGTTCTTTATCTGATGCTGGTTTTATATGTGTTTTTGGAGGGCGTTTAGGTTGTTAGTTTCTGTTCACTACTTTTAAGGGCCTTCCACAGTGAAATTTCACCTGCCAACAATAATGGATTTTATCTTTCTTTTAATCTTGGGTCAAAATGACAGATCTCTGGGTTTTCTCTATAGTGCCAATTATGTAAGCTGTAAGATACCAAGTTTTTAAGTTATGTAGTAGGTGCCAATTTATTCCAAAGTACATTGTGTCAAAGTGTAATTAATAATCATGAAGCAATAAAACACTGAGTTCAGAGGAATTTCAGGCCATCTTGCTTGATTTATTTTTTTCTTTGTGTATTGAAACAGTTCTGTTGCTAGCTGCCTGGCAGCATGAACTGTGTCACAAACTGTTCATGAGAGCACTGTCATGAGATATAGACTGTCAGTCTATGTCCCATGAGAGATTTGAATACTATTAAGTTTCTCTAGGGGATAAATCTTGGTGACCTTTGGGTAGGAGAAGGTTTTGGCCCTCCCAAGCCCTCTGCTTGCCTGCTCGTCGTTAAACTGTTAGTTCCTGAACTTGGCCTTTTCTAGCAGCAACATCTTGAGATTCAAGTAGAATTTGTGCCATAAAGCAGTGTGTACAGATGTTCAGTGCCTTCCAGGCCTGCCTCCAGCTTCCCCGGACCAGCCCTCTGGGCAAATGCTGAGCGGGAGACCTACCCTGCTGCAGGAAGGACCCTGCGGAGCTCTGATAACCTTGATGACAAGCCCGTCCTGTCAGCTGAAGGTACACATAACTCCTTGTTCTTAAAAGGTGAGTGAGGAGCCTTGTCTAGTGGGGGGGGGCATGGATTTCTGTCAGACTTCTTCATACCATCACTTCAGCGTTGCAGTTTAGTCGGGGGGCTGCGTGCATGTTTGGGGGTGTTTTGATTTTTAGCAGTCGTCGTATTAGCAGAGGTGGTATCTACACTGGATATTGGGGGGGTGTTTTAGTGATCATGGTATTGGTAGAGGTGGTGTGTACCCTGGGTGCAAACTGCCATTTAAGATTGGTATTCAAACCAAGGAGAAAAACCCCAACAGGCTCCACATCTTTTATATGTCTCAGAGTCTCTTGTACAGATGTGAGGACAGAAGGAGGAGACAGAGCCTGTTGTATTAATTACATCAGAATTCTGTGATTGTTCTAACTCATTTCTAGCTGCAGCACCCCATCTCGTACAGGTGTCTGCAGAAGCAGTGGACACTTGTGTGTATACTAATTAAGGAATCAAATAAATGATTCAGCTATCACACTTGACCTGTTTACAGTGTGGCACTGTGGGATTTTTATGCTCTGTGGTGTAACTTACTTTGTTGAACAAGTGACTTTTGATATTCGCTGTGAGGTTCTATATGTCATACGAAGGACAAA